AGGGAAAAACAGGTTTGATGCGAGAGATACGTTTGAAGAGGACAGAAGTTGCAAGAGCTGTTTTAGCGACATTTAGTATCGTACTTTTTTCTTCCTCAAAGCCAACCACAAAAATCTTGTTTTCTATTTCTTTTGAAGTTCTGGCTTTGCTCTTTCAATCAGAAAAAGAATGAACTTTCTGCGATGTTCCTGAGCGGAGAACCATGGCTGGAGATTTCCGCAGTTACTTTTGCATCGTAGGTTATAATGATGAGAAAAGTGGATAGCGGCATGATGCGAGATGAGATGAAAAGCAAGACAACCGTGAAAATATTTTTCTGCAGAAAATGTTTCGGCAGAATTCTGTGCAAAAATTCCCGCGTAGTTTAAGACATTTACGATGAAAAATTTCTACATTTTTTTCACTGGGATGTGCGTCACCCAGCAAACGTCTTAGCACCAGCTGAAGTCAGAGCCTTTCCGACGCGTCGACCTTGCCCAGATATCAGCCGTTCGCCTATTAATCGCTTAAAATCAACAATTAATCGTAATTAATTGCCGATTTTTAATAAAAGAAAAATCACTGGAATCGCCAATTAATGTGCGTGCGATTTTTCAAGAATCACGATTAATGGTTAAAAATAGCGCGATTTCGTCGACATGTCGTCGAATTATTAAAACTGACATGGCGTACTGTGTTAAAATAAGTTGGTCTTTATTGCTGAATTCGTCCACATTCCTGTGCTAAATGAGTTTTTAATTGTTCATACTAAGTCACAGAGTGATTAGAAGTTGTTAAAATGCGATTTCTGAAATTCGTGATTTTGCTGGCGAAAATTCCGAAACAAATGTTTTCGATGAATAATTTCTAATGAACACGTATATTTCGCCAACTATTTTTCATCTTGCGCAGGTCAGTTTTAGTGGTTAAAACATTTCTGATAAACAAGCGATAAGGGTAAGAAAAAAAAGTAGCTCGATCACAATAAGAATGCTGCCAATTTAATAGCATGAAACAGTGCAAGAAAAACTCGATGGACGATATATATGTCAAAAAAGAAAGAAAGAACTATTGTTGGTCTTGTCATTGTTTTCTTTGTGCTGCCAATTTAATAGCATGAAACAGTGGAAGAAAAACTCAGCGGTGTTTTCTATCTGTTATTGGAGTGAAAATTAATAAACGTGGCATCAAAATAGCTTCTTTTCTTCTGCAAATTCCTCTGATCCTCTCCAGTTCGAATGAACTTTTCGGCTAATTTAACAACAATCGATGCGTTTGGTGTCGAAATGATGCTTCGCCATGCGCTCTAACATGGAATCGGAGCTTGCCTACGTCGGAGAATTAAACTAAACCAGCGTAACGATTATTGTCAGTTGTTTTTAGTGAAAATAATGTTTTATTAAAATTATTATTTATTAGAATAAACAGGCATATTTTATTTACAAAAAAATATCTTTAATATTTGTTAATAACTTCATATTTGTCTTTCTATGTCTAGAAGATGCATAACTACATTAACGGGAGAATGAAACAGTGAATTTGCCTTCTTTCGTTAGACCATGGGTCTTGGTGTTATCTGCTGGAAACAAATAAGCATCAGGAGCATTGGCATTTTGAGCTTGAATAAATGTTCTAAAAAGAATAAAAAGTTTAGAAATATGAAAGAAAGAAATACAAATGTTCCTACCCATCTGGAGCCGTAACTTTCATCGGTACATTGAAACCATCGATGACACTCAGATCGTAGTAGATATTTGCATCCTTGACTTTGTTGGAAATTTCAAATAATGTCACTGGTTTACCAGTGAAACCATGTCGAAAATTACCCGCAAAACCCTGTGGAAGCGTATAAGTGGTTCTTCCACTACGAATAAAATATAAGAACATTTAGAAGACACTATTAGTCTATATACTGTGACTTCTTACTTAGGAGCAATGTTAGCCACAAGTTTCATTGGTTGACCATTTTGCGTAACAACTAGTTGAATATTATCAGATAATTTATTTTCGAATTCAATCGAAACGTCAGCTAAGGCTGTTAAAGAGAAACATGCTAAGATCGATTTTTATCTATACTTTCAGCACTTACTGTCGAATATTATGGCAGCGAGAACCAATTGGACAAATATTAACTTATTCTTGTAATTCATTATTAACAGTATACTTCTTGTTTTCGAAATGATAGGCTTTCAGTAAATAAGACGTATATATACAATTCTTTAGTGGTGGGCCGATAGACAATATATACATCAAAAAAGAAAGAAAGAACTATTGTTGGTTTTGTCATTGTTTTCTTTGTGCTGTTTCATCTTCTCCCTCATGTTTTTCATTCACGTAGACGGTTTCTGCGGCGAAAAATTATTGTTATTGCGTCTGACGATAGAAATAAAGGCTCTTTCGTTTAAACGTATCTCCGTCAACTTAGATATATATCTTACTGACGACTGCTATCGATTCGTATAGTTAAAAGCAAAATTCATTGAAATGAAAGAAAGCATGATTTTTTATCTGATAATCGAACATATCTTCGACTGTTGGAGAAATAAATGATTAAAACCCAGGCGACTTTTTCTTTCGTTCGTGCGTTTCGCTATATTTTAGAAGCTGTATCGTTATATTCGATTTCATTTCGGCCTATCACTAATAAAAACAGATAATATTGCATAATATCGTAAAAATCATCACCGATGTAAAGCTGAAGAAAACACTGACAATGTATTGATGTAGGGCATCACTCCTCAGAGTATGCCGCCGCTGAGATATTATTCAGAGGAATTTAGGTGTCTCATCAATTAGAGATTGACGGAAACAACCAAAAGACTTTTGTGTCCATTACAGTATTTACTCTCTTTACATCTTAACTGAAAAATGCCAGTAAGTCTCTTTCAAACTCACAGAAAATAAAGTCGATTTTCCGGAAATTAATTTTATTTTAGAGAAAATCAAATACTGTTTTTAAAAAAAGTAATTCAGGAAGAAATATTGCTTGTTTTATGCGAAATGATAATTAGTCGGATTTCTCTAGACCAAGATTGGCAGAAAAATATCCAAAACTTGATGAAAATTGAAATTAATTGAAAACATGATCCACCTTATATTTAAGCATTAAAGTGATCTAGTTCATCAGCCGCAGAAATATGAACAAAAGTCACAATGAAAAGTCATTGATTCTAGAGATATAAGGTCTAGTAGAAAATCACCACATTTTCTTATGGTGTACTTATTACAAATCTTTTTTTGCATAAGAATGCGAGATCTACGATTAGTACGTCGTCCGTGTCCACATAAAACGATGCGTTTGAATGTTATTGCGTCTGACGATAGAAATATAGGCTCTATCGTTTAATCGTATGTCGGTCAACTTAGATATATATATTACTGACGACTGCTATCGATACTGTTTCATTTCGTATAGTTAAACGCAAAATTCAATCCACTGTAAGTAATACAAATTCTAATGACTGTAAGTGACAATTACAGATTAAGTGTACTATACATTTACGTCATTAATGAAATTGCCGTAGTAGCGAAAGGCAGAATCATATAATGCATATATCAAGAGATTAAATTGCTTTTTTGCAAGAAGACAAAGAAGATGGGTTGATACGGTCATTTTGTGAAGCTCACGTGTCAAAACATGTGAGTGGAAGTTGTAGTAGAACTTTTCCGGCCACCGCCAGTGATAACTTAAACAGTCCATAAACTGGTTGCTCATGCTGATAAAATACCGGTTGATACCTCCGGTACAATCGAACGGTATACGGCGCGGTTGGGTAGACTGCGTGGTTCGGTAGACCATGCGGTAATTTCACATGCCCATTAGGTTAACCTCCCAGTATACTCGGCGGTGACCGCGGCGGTAATCAGCGGTATTTTAGCGGTTCTGATGACATAGGCTGTTTGAGTTATCACGGGCGGTGGCCGGAAAAAGTTCTACTTCAACTTTCACTTACATATTTTGACACGTTGGCTTCACAAAATGACCGTATCAACCCATGTTCTTTCTTTGTCTTTCTTGAAAAAAGCAATTTAATCTCTTGATATATGCATTATATGATTCTGCTTTTCCCTACTACGGCAATTTCATTAATGACAGAAACGTATAAGGTCCTTCCTTTTAGTCAAAAGAAGTACCTGTTACATAAGACAAGTATGGACAGGGAAATCTACTCTTATACTCCAGTGCTTTATAGATTATTTTTATAACATTTTTTCTACAATTTATAGCAGTACACGAATGACCTAACCTTCAACTTAACTGTGTACTGTTCTGCAAAGCAAAATAGGACGGGGATAACCTGCTGGTCTTTACTTCATATAACTTCATCAATGAACATTTTACATGATAAAAAAATAAAAATATTTACCGTGATAATAGAAAATGCATCTCATCGCTGGTGAGGTGGTGCTGGTGAGAGAAAAGCAGAATCTTCTTTCAGCAGAATGGATTAAATCCGGCTGACTCACTAGTGAAATAGTCCGCTTTTGTTCTCTATCATCTACTCATGCGTATAACCCTAAACTGTAGTTTAAGCTTTTGTTGTACATATACAACTTTAAAATATTTGTTTTAACAGATATGAATTCATTTTTTGTACTTCATCTGGAATTAAAATAATGAATTTAGATTCTCTGTAGGATGGGTAGATTTTCCAGGTAACTGCCTTCGTCGCACATTCTCCCATCAAAGTCTTGTATGTGACTAGAGATATGAAATACAGAATATGGATAGATATTCTAGATACGACAAAGAACAGAAGGATATGAATGCGGTTAGATACGACAAAAGGAAAGAAGAGACATATTTATGTTATACGTTAGAATGATTCTAATACTATTAGAATTGTGTCTCAATATTGATCTTGGATGTGTGATGTGAAAAAAATATGTTTTATAACAGCGACAGCAATCAACTTAGATTGAATAGGCCGTTAATGGCCAGTTATCGGACCGTTTTTTTGGACTTTATGCTAAAGTGATTTTAGAATGATTTTTCAATGTTTCATGATACATAGAGTACTTCAGAGTAATTAGAGACACTCTTGGAAATTTTCGTTCTGTTTTTTGCCATTTCTTGACCGTTTTTGATCGGAAAAGCTTGATGTGGAACACGATGGTAGACCGAACGTTTTTCTTCGGTTCCACTGCGGTAATCAGCGGTATTTTAGCGGTTCTGATGACGTAGGCTGTTTGAGTTATCACGGGCGGTGGCCGGAAAAAGTTCTACTTCAACTTTCACTTATGAAGTTTAGTGCAATTGCGGCTGAAACACCCTTAACTTTGTTTAACATGATTAAGAGTTTATTAATAAACTCTCTTGACCGTAATGTTAAACAAAGTTAAGGGTGTTTCAGCCGCAATTGCACTAAACTTCATATTTATATTGTTGCCTTTGAATACTAGTAATGTTATTAACTTTCACTTACATATTTTGACACGTGAGCTTCACAAAATGACCGTATCAACCCATGTTCTTTGTCTTCCTGGAAAAAAGCAATTTAATCTCTTGATATATGCATTATATGATTCTGCTTTTCCCTACTGGTAATCGTACATGTACTGGTAAATCGTCAAAATGTACGGTTCTTTCTAGTTTAAGGATAAGCTTGAAAGATGCTGACGGCCCCAATTGTTACACGCAAAATGTCTATTTTCAGAAAATCCGACTTTTAGAACGCGTTTCAGAAAATAAGAAAAATGGTAACTTGAAAATTCTTAAGGAGATCAGGTCCATGGAATTTTTCGCGGGCTATTTTTTTGTGTATTTAGTTTCAGCAAAAATTCATTATTTTTGACATCAGTGAAAAAGTTTTCTTGATATGCTTTATTAAAACTTAACCAGACTATTTGTAGTGATGTATAGTTTTTGAATTGTTTCTCAATGAAGTTTGGTGAGAGAAAATTTTATTTGATACACTTTTTGTAGTTTAGACTTTGCTCTTTCGAAGAAAAAGAAAGCAAAGTCTCTAGAATAATAGGAGCATAAAGAAACAGCGCTCGACATTTGTTGCAAAACTTATGTATAACTCGTTAGAACGGTTTCATCGATCAATTCCGGCTGTCGAGCGATTGATTGTATCAGAAGAATCGCACATGTCCAATGTAATGTGCAAAAACGAACAAAGCACTGATCGATATTCAGAATTTAGCTAGCATCGTCAATACGAGCAATCAAGTGCATGACTAAGACAATATATTATTGCTGTATCAACCTACGTGAGTCAACGTTCAACATTTTTCTGTTGAACGTTGAATTCATTCGCACTACTTTCTCAGAAAAAAGCAAGTAAAATACAGCTGACTATTTTTCGTATATGAAGTTAATTGGATAAATAAGTTTTTATAGTCAAACCATGAAGAAAAGATTCCCTGTTTTGAATGATTATACAAAATATTTAGTGTAAAATTAATAAGGTTGAACCGTAGCAAAAACGTCCAATATTTCATACCACTCTTTACCAGAAAACTTGAGTCTGAAAATGCAATAACATTTAATACACATCCAAAAGTTTTCTAGCAAAGTAGTCTATTTACATTTCATAACTTCTTATCTGTGACAAGTAACAATAAATTTTATTTTTATACAAGCAACGCGAAAATGCCACCACTATTTAAGAACATAGACGCACGAATCAAATATCTTAGATATTTTCTCGGTAATTGATTATAAGTGAAAATTGAATACATTGATAGTGAGAAATATGAAGCATCGAAATAAGAATTACCAATTATTGAAAGATATGAAAGTTACTTGACTGTATTTAATCATGACTAGACTTAACTCATGTTCAACTAAAAACAGAAAACGTTATATTACTGCTTGATACCTGAAATTTGATGATAAACCAGTTTACATTCTCGTTTGAAGTAGCAAGTAAAATATGACATTTCTTCTCCATCTCTTTTTAGCAGTATATTGCACTCGATTAACAACAGAAAATATGAATATAAAAAGATGATTGTGTTTCATCAAGTAAAAAAAGAAAAATTAGGGAAAAAATATTTATAAAACTTATGCAGATTGTAAACACGATATATTGCAACAAACAAACAAACAAAATAAATAAAATAAAATAAATAAGAAAATTTCCTGTTTGTTTACAGGAAATTTAATTAAAAAAAAGAAGAAACAACGAGAAA